GCCATCGTCAAGGCTATGGATCAGTACTATCATGATGACCCGTCCTTGCGTCGAAGCACTTGTTAGACTCTGGTGTCCCAGTGGACGGTGAGCTGGCCGGTTGTGTCGGAATGAATACCCTTACAGTCGTATTTGTTCTCATATTGATGTGACGAACTACTTTCCATAACCGAGCGATTTTCTGCGCAAAGCTGCTGGGAGGGGATACGACAAGTCGAAGGGGTGAGCTGTGGAAAGATGGGTCGGGTGGGCTAGTTGCATGGATGCCCTCGTTTTTTTTCGTTTTCTGTTGAAAGTTGTCGGATCGATGTCGGGAAAATCCCGTACCGACGGTTGGGTGGCCGCGCCATAACGAGCACAAGAAATAACTGTACCATAGTTTTTTCTTTTCTTGTTCTGCTGTGAGCACTGGGAATTTTGGCACGATTATCGCGCGGGAATATCGTTTTCGAATTTTTAACTGATGTCGAGCCCCCATGGACTCTCTCAATTATTTTTCTTTTCGGAATTTCCTTTTGCAATTAGGACTTAGACTAGGAATTTAGGTACTCTGAATTTTGTCGCGCAACGTTCGCACGCATCTTCTTGCGCGGGGAACTGGGTTCTGACTGAATCATGCCTTTAATCTTGTACAACTGTCGTTTTTGGCGGGCGCGATCATAACTGTAATCCTTCTTCTTTCTTGGTTCTCCTATGTTGCCCGCCTTCTTCTTCTTCTTCTTTCTCGTCTCGCATACTCTGTTCTAATTGGCCGAAGCGCCTGCATGACCGGATCTATGCGTGGAGTGTGGCTACGACCCCCACGCCGCAGCCTGGCCATGCAGACGTAGGCACTTCCTATCTTCTCTTCTTGTCCATCTGGGCTTAATCCCACACCTTTCGCGCAGGCATGCAGCCTATAAATTTTGCAAGCGTGATTAGTTGTCTCTTTAAGAATTTCGAGGTTCGTGCGATCAGTGAGGGTCGGCTAACGAGCAAGTTTGGAAGGTGAGTGAGTGTGAGAGTTGGGCGATCCAACGAGCTGGTGTCGGGTATGCGGGGTTGACGTGCGGGGCCGCAACGGACTGTGGCGCACGAGCGAACCTGGCTTGCATGCTTGAACCAAGCGGGATGACAACTCTGCGTTGATACGCGGCGACGGACTGCCGATATCGTGGGTGTCGATGCGAGGCGACGGACTGCCTGCAACGGGAACAGAGAGAGAGAGAGAGAGAGAGAGAGAGAGAGAGAGAGAGAGAGAGAGAGAGAGAGAGAGAGAGAGAGAGAGAGAGAGCAATGGTGTGGGTGTGGGATAAGATTCTTTTTGTTGTTCCTTTCATTTCCTCTGTTCATCTGTATAATTTTGGATTCTGATATGGTCGATCTCTTTATCACGGCCCTTCTCTTTTGAACTTCTCTTGGTGAACTTCTCTTGTACATTGTCTCGGATTTTCCTTGTTGTTTTGCTCGGTATGTATGCAGTGAATAAATGTAGGTTCTCTTTTATTATAAATCTTTTCGGATTTTCGATCTGTTTTGCGATGTCTGTGTTGTCTCTGACCAACGTTCGCCTGCGTAAGCTATGCGATCAGGCCTGATTGGGAATGCTCACTTTGAATGTCTGGGGTCCAAGTGTCGATTATCCTCTCTCCTCCTTTTGCGTCGCATGTATAGCATGTAGTGATTGGTAGGATATTTGCACCGATGGTTGAATGCGACCGGCACACGAAACCAATCGACTGTTCCTTACGTGCACGTGTGTGTACGTTTGGGATCTCAAAGTCGAGTCGCCACGTACGTGCTTGTCTGCGTAAGTCAGCCTTAACCTCATGTAAGGATGTGGGGGATGCGGCTTACTAAATGGACATGGCTGCGAGATCTCCTTCCTCGGCATCCGACTACGAAAATTTAAGGGACCCGGAATATCGCGAGTATTGGGAAGGCAAACAAATCAGACGGCGGGGAAATTTAAGAAATCCGGAATTCCCCTGCGTAACAGAAAACGACCGATCATGCGCAAGGGATTTTCACTGTGCCATAACTAGCGACCCCAGGTGCCCCGACTACCCGAAAACTTATAACACGTAATTTTTCATATCCCCCGGATTCGTCGTTATTACTCCCAGCTTCCCTCCCTTCCATCTCCTCCTCCCATATCACCAACTCACAGTGGTACCGTGGAATTCCATAGCTCGCTACTGGCCCAGTCCGCCGTGAGAGGGTTGTCGGTATCACCGGGCGCGCCGAGCTTCGGGAACTACCCGACAGACTCGTTGCACAACCTCCACGTACAGCCCGCCTCGGCGGAATCCGAAGCCTGTTACGAGCGGCGCCGACAACTGACCGAACCGCGCGACCAGACCCGAAGACGAAATCAGCGGCGATGGTGATTCCTTTTTTTTTTCGGCCTTAAAAGCTAAACCTGTTGGCAGGGGCAATGTTGTTGGGATTTTGTTCGAGAATGCAAGAGTGTTTAGATCTATCGGTACGGCGATAGCGGGAAAGTGCCCCAGATTTGTAAGCCTGAGATGCACTACGCATGCCATCTGCCTTGTGCTGCACGACATCAGCATCCTCCCTTCTGAGTACGCCCTCTTTGTGCCTATACCCCCGAAACTTGTCACACGAGATCTCAGTTCCGACCTGGGACTCCACCCCCACTTTCCTAAAATCCTTGGCACACCCCCTTTTGTGCACTTCCGGGCCCCCACCCTACTCCGATCAGGAAGTGGCGCAGGGCGTGAGGTTCCTGGGCGTCACAGGCCAGCCTTAAAAGAGATTGTTAGACCATTGTTTTCAAGCCCCACCCTAAGGGTTGCCCCCCACCGAAAACGACGACATGAGGGAGGCCACCATCAAGGCTATGGATCAGTACTATCATGATGACCCGTTCTTGCGTCGAAGCACTTGTTAGACTCTGGTGTCCCAGTGGAAGGCTGGCCGGCTGTGTCGGAATGAATACCCTTACAGACGTATTTGTTTGCATATTGTGGCGATTTAGGCTACCTAGCCAGCGACATGATTCGGAAGGATTTCCAAGCCATCGGTGGGTTGCCTAAGGGCCGAGGCCAGCCGCGGCGCCACTATGTTAAGGGCGAGGCCCCTTTGTGTGCATCACTTGGTTGTAGGAGGTGCTCCTCGGCATGGCCATAAAGGCCCGTTTCTCTCTTCTTTTTTCTTTTGGTCGAACTACCGACGACTTAGCTTACTTCTCAGCGATCCTTTTATATTTACTTTCATTTTATGGTATTTTATTTCAATCGATTACTGTTATTACCATTGTCCATTAGAACTACTGCTATTGTCTTTCAGACTATTACCTCATTGTGCGGCCCACCCAACGATTAGTAGTTGGTTTGTTATTTTTTTCATAGGAGAGGCAGGCTTGATGGTGAGGCGGCCGCGGGTCGTAGGGTTGTGGGTTCACGGAGCTGGAATCGTTGAGGTTGCAATGACTTGCTGATTTCGACTGCTGAGATTGACTGCGAGGTTGTACACTAACCGGTAGGGTTAGATTTGTAATTTTGTTTGGCTGAGGGCTAACCAAGCGATCTGCCTGTAGGGAAATCCGTGAGGGACAGATCTGCAAATCTGGGAAAATACAGGCCCCGTACAAACCTGAATTCCTACAGCTACCCTAACTGCCTATAGCAGGCTCGGGCTACCCCTAGGACAGACAGGCCCTAAGTGGCCTATACTGCTAGATGGTCCTATAGCCTATAGCCGGGTCCGGTAGAGGCCGAGAGGCCGAAACAGCAACGGTACCGGTCGGTCAGTCGGTCCGGTCTAGGTCTAAAGAGGCTATAGATAGGTTAGGCCCATCGGTTCAGGACTTTTGGCAGTTCATTTCTCGCGAAGCAGCGCTGGAGAAGCCAAGCAAGTTGGTGGCGGTGACGGTCTGCAGGCGGCATCCTTAGACGCACCGTGACAGCAACCATAGCCGGCCCTCTCTGAGTCTGCCATAGCTGGAGCATCCTCAGCGCACCTACGCCTGGGGGTATCTGCGTATGGTCGGTCTGTATCGAGGCTCTACGGTGTGTATTCGTGGGTGGTGGCAACCATAGCTGCCTGTTCCTTTGTCAGAGTTGTCCATCGGCACTGAAGACTTCATCGCAGGACCTGTTCTTCATCAAGGTGGTTGGCGTTGGCCTCTGGGAGGCCAATCTGATGTAGCGCTACTAACTGGGTGTAGGATAGAGAGTGGGGTGTGAGTTCTGAGAGTGGCGAGATACTGGAACAAACTCTGTTACGATAATTGTTTGAGTGGCTCATCATCAGTGTGAATCCATTTGTGATCTTCGTAGATTCTTTCTTGTGATTGGTTGTTGGGAGTTGTGTCAGAGAGTGAGAAACACTGGGTGTTCTCTTCCCATCTGTGCATGATTATCTTTCGCTGCTTATCTTCACCTGTGTGCAGTTTGGACTCTGTCTCCTCTCTCCCCTTCTCTTATGCATGTATGGGCATGTGTGAGATTGTCTGTGTGTGAGTGGCGATAAAATTCGTCAGACAGCCAAGTTCATAACAGTTGGTATCAGAGCGAGATTGGATTTGGAGCACTGAGGGTTGAGCGCTCTGAGGCATCTTCTTCATCCTGGCGATATACTGGCAAGAGTTTCATGGCGATTCATCTTCCCCAGTACTGAGTCAGCATGGAAGAAGATTTTCAGCGGTGGATTCAAGTGTTCAGTGGTTGCACTGAGCAAGCGCACTGGCCTGTCAGGGCGCTTGTCAGGAAGTGGCGAGTACGGGGCTAATTCGCCATAGCCAACCCTGAGGGTGATACTGCGAATCACCCCAGAGTGGCGAATTACCCCTGAGGACATCAGGGAACCCTGAGCGGCAGCATCCTTGGGTAGCGCTGATAGAGATTGACAGTCTGTGTCAATCTCCTGAAGAAATAACCCCATCTGGGGCTATTTTTAGCATCAGTGGCTACCAGGCACTGTGGCGAGATATTTCGAAGTTGGCCTACTGGGCGCCACATGACCAGATATAGTGTATCTGAGTTGAGGGAGTGCAGCGCTACAGGATACTGAGGAGGATCAACAAATTTGAGGAGGTTTTGTGCGTGGGATCATCAGGAGGAAGGCGAGATGAGGGTATCATCAGCCATAGCCAGATCTTCATCATCACCTGCAAGATTCCTAGAAAGTGAGTCCATTCCATGCACCTACCTGTATTGTGATCCAGATAGGGTTAGTTTAGTGAATTGTAATGGTCTATCTGTCTGATAGTGATTGGATATGAAAATCGCAGACTGCAAGACAACCATAGCCATCTCTCCCCTACCTCTCTCTGCTCATTTCTCTCCCTCTGGTGACTCTTTCTAGTCCAAATTGGTTATGTGACTGCTATACTGCATTACGATTGACCTGGGATGCTCAAACAGTGAATTCTGGACTGGAAAGGTAGTAATACTGTGAATTGTTGTTTTGCACTGAGTCTATTTTTAGCCTGTGTTACCTAGGGTCAATCATAAATTCAATTCTGTCCGTCAGAATTCAGTTCTGTCAGTCCCCAGTGAATCGCAATCCAAAAATAGACTATACTGTAGAATCGCAGATTTGGATTTGCAGTATTTCACTGGATACAGTGAATACTGTAATTCGCCATACCCTAGGGTATGGCGAATTACAGTATTCACTGTATCCAGTGAAATACTGCAAATCCAAATCTGCGTCATCAGGGTCTAAAATTGAGTTTGAGTCAGGATATAGGGTAACTGTCTACATCGCTTGTTGTGATTGATCTCTCTTGTCTGTATTAACCATTTTCGGTCATTCTCACTAATGACACTTGCTTTCTAGTGGGCACTGAAATTTTAGTGAGTCTCTGGAAAAGTACTGGAGTATGTTTACTAACTCCAGTGTGGTCCAGGGTCATTTAAAGGAAATCGTGTGGTTGATTTTGCTGGACTTACAGTCTGTCTGACACCTGACCCCAGAGACACCCTTCTAACCCAACCCGCGGATTGCCTATTCACCCACCTACTCCACTGTCTGAGTGTTGCAGCGATTCCGGTGTGTCTGCAAGAATCTGTTTATCGCTGCAGCTCATGTTGTTGTTATCTTATTTTTGGTCTTTATTTTGAAACCTTGAAATGTCTGATCAGGGGGCTCAGCAGCAGCCACAAGTGGAAGTGGTAATGAAGGTGGAAGGTGAACAACCTTCAACCTCCATTGCTCCTCCTCCACCTCTGACTGCTACTCAGCGGTTGAAGAAGGAGCTAGAAGAACAGCTGCGTCAGCAACAGGCCAGACTTGCAGAAGTGGACAGCAGCAGGCTGCTGAGCTAGAAACTGCAACAGATCATTCCAGAAGAAAATATATGTTGCAGCAGCTAGAAGGGTCGCTCACTGATGATCGTTGCTCCCAGATCACCAAGCACATGGCAGAGATGATCCTGTTGGAGCACAAGATCACCAGCTCCTAGTTTACAAACTGGGATGATCGTTTTGTGCGGCTGGAGCGTCGGTTTAACGAGCTGTCAACTCAGCAGACCAAAATTCTGAAATTTATTTAGGGCTTGACTGCTCAGCTGGCAGCCGCCAAGCTGATCACTCCTCAGCCCCCTCTGCTGCAGCCCAAATCTTCTCCTCACTCTTCACCCCCTTCCTCTTCCCATGCATCGCATGTTGGCTCTGTACATTCCTGCCGGTCATCCACCCCTTCCCAAAAGGCCTCAGCAAAGGCCACCTATGCTTCTGTTACTACAAGAGACCAAAGAGGTCCCAAGATCCCTGCTCCAAACAAGTTTAGGGGTGATGACCCCAAGACCGATGTTGGGGACTGGGCTGCTGGAACCCGAGTCTACTTGAGGGGCTTCGTCTGTGCAGAACAGACCAAGGTGGTGACTGTTTTAGGACTGCTGGAGGGACCCACACTGAAGTGGGCCACCTCAACTTCCAGCAGTCTGCAGCAGTCCATGGAGGACTGGGCGTTTGGGCTGGGGGTGGACAGAGTTCTGCAGGCCATGGAGGACCGTTTTGCAGACAAGGAGCGGGCCCGCAAGGCCGCTGACATGATTGCTCGCCTGGGACAGCAGCAGTACAGCGGGACTTTGCAGGCCGTGTTTGCTGAGTTTGAGCAACTCACCTCCACCCCTGGGTTGGTCATGAGCCCTGATGATTTACTGACCAACTTCTGCAAGGCAGCGCCTGAGAAGTTTGTTGTTGCTCTTTACAGCGTTGGGCACAAGGGCTGGAGGTCCTTTGGCCGTGCAGCCCTGGAAATGGAGGCCAAGCTCCATGTCCAGGCCCCATCCTCTGACAGGAGGAAAGGTGACTTCCCTCGATGTGGTAGAAAGGGAAAGGCAACCTTCACGCATGCAGGGTCTGCCTCAGGATCAGACTCAGATTCCCAGGCTGATACACCTTGAGCTGAGACTGGATTTGCTGCCGAGACAGATGTTGCAGCAGTCGTGACTCAGGCAGTTTTGGGAGCTCTGCAGCTGCAGAAAAAGTTATCTCCCACCGCAGCCTCAGCCAGTGCCAAGGGGAAGGAAAAGGGACGTCGACCTTCCTCTTCCCAGCGCCCTAGCCTGCCCAAAGACGTCCACATGCCAGCTAAACCTCTCAATCCCTCCACACTCCCCTGGCATGACGTCAAGATCCAGGAGGGAGTCTGGAGAAGAAGAAAGGAGAGAGGGGTTTGCCTGAGATGTGAGGGACAACACTTTCTAAAGGACTGCCCTTACATGCCAGGCCCAGGGCAGTCAAAAAACTTAAACAGACCCTGGGAACTGCAGTTCCACTCAATGTTGCACCTTCATCTACTCAGGTAGGTGAACCTGTAGCTGTTTCAGTTGAGGCTGCATGTGACAGTGTGAATTTGGGGACTGCGCGGGCAGCATCCTTCTGCTATGAGGATCTTGACCCGGATCAGGACCCGGGGCAGGATGAGCTCCAGTCTATTGCTGCCTTCTTCCTTCATCTGAAGGAACAGAAGAAGAGCAAGACCGATCTCATCATGCCACTGATCAACAGCACCAGGATCACTGGGTTGTTGGACTGTGGGGCCACCAGGAACTTCATGTCTCCCAGTGCAGTTAAAAAGTTGCACCTGGGCATGAAAGTTCAGCAGCTGCAACAACCGCTGCTGGTGCGGATTGGTGACTCTACAGTACTCAGGATCAGGGAGAAGGTCAAGGGCATCTCTGTGACCTTCGATACTGCTGGAAAAGTCAGACATAGTTTGAACTTTTATATCTTCCCTGAGCTGCCTTTTGACTTGGTGTTCTCCATGCAGTGGTTGAGGGCAGTCAACCCTAGGATCGACTGACAGATCCCTAGAGTTGAACTACCAGATCGCCAGGGGGTGTATCAGCAATGCATGATTGTTGCTGATCACCACCCTAGGACCTCCTGCTACTGCCTGAGAGCGAGGGAGTTTCATGCTCTCTCTCGCCAGTACCACCATGAGCGTCTGTTTATTGCTCTGGTCAAGCAGACAGATGCTCCCCCTGTTTTCTGTCCTCCTGAGATACAGCAGGTGGTAGATCAGTATGCTGATCTGATGCAGGAGCCCTTTGGGTTACCCAACCGGCCAACCAAGCATCACATCGAGCTGCTGCCTGGAGCGGTCCCTCCCAAGGGTCGCATCTACAGGATGTTCCCTGCTGAGCTTGAGGAGCTCAGAAAGCAGCTTGAGACCCTGACCAGCAAAGGCTGGATCAGACCCAACACATCTGAATTTGGTGCACCTGTTCTCTTTGTACCCAAAGGGAACGGCGAGTTCAGGATGTACATTGATTACAGGGGTCTCAATAAGATCACTAGGAAGAGTACTGAGCCACTTCCTAGGATCGATGACCTCCTGGACATGGTGCAGGGCTGCACAGTGTTCAGCAAAGTCGACCTCAAATTTGGCCACCACCAGATTGAGATGGCAGAGGAGGATGTCTACAAAACAGCCTTCAAGACCATGTATGGGACGTACGAGTTTCTGGTCATGCCATTTGGACTTTGCAACGCCCCGGGCTCCTTCCAGACAGAGATGTACCGCATCTTCAGGCCTTACCTGGACAAGTTTATGGTTGTCTACCTGGATGATATCCTGGTATTCAGCAAAACTGTCAGGGAACATGCGGAGCACTTGGCTCTTGTTCTTCAATCATTACGTGATAGTCAGTATTAGATTAACAGAGAGAAGTCATCCTTTGGAGTTCCCTCTGTCATCTATCTGGGCCATGTAATCTCTGGAGATGGTCTGGCTCCTGAAGCAGCCAAGATTGCTGCTATTCAGGAGTGGCCTCAGCCTTAGACAGTGAGGGATGTTCGGTCCTTCATGGGTTTGGCCTCCTACTATAGAAAGTTTGTCAGGAACTTTTCTGCAGTGGCTGGACCTCTGACTAACCTAACAACGAAGGATACTCCCTTTCTTTGGTCCCTCCACTATCAGTTGGCCTTCACACGACTCAAGAAGGCCTTGACTCGTGCACCTATGCTGAAGTTACCTGACCCCACTCTGCCATTCATCCTGACCACTGACGCCAGTCAGTATGGCATTGGGGCAGTTCTTCAGCAGGATGATGGGAATAGTCTACGGCCTGTAGAGTTTATGAGTAAGAAGATCAAGACTCAAAAGCTCCAGGACTCCACCTACGAGAAAGAGTTGTATGCTCTTGTCTGTGGCCCGAAACATTGGAAACACTTTCTCCTGGGCAGGCACTTCAAGATCTTCTCAGATCATTCCACCTTGCAGTGGATGAAGTCCCAGGGAGAGTTGAACGATAAGCTGACATGGTACATTCAGTTCATTGACATGTTTGACTTTGAACTGAAGCACAAGAAGGGCTGCTACAACAAGGTAGCAGATGCCCTCTCTCGTAGGCCTGACTCTTTTGCGTTGATCTCCTCTACTCACTCCTTTGGAGAGGAGACCCGTCAGACCATTGCTCGTCTACTGCCTCAGGACGAGACTTTCGAACCCATTGTCAGGAATCTGCAAGCAGATCCTAACTCTGAACCAGGCTATGCTCTGAGTTCAGACCTGTTGTATACTTGCAGCAGAGGTGAGGAGCGCTTGATTCCCCAGGACCAGCGGCTCAGGACACTGCTGATGTCAGAGTGTCATAATGCCCGAGGACATTTCGGGTTCCTAAAGTCTTATGCAGCCCTGTCGCAGCGCTTCTTCTGAAAGGAGATGCGGAGTGAGAAGCTGCGTTATGTGGACACCTGCGAGCTCTGCCACAGGAATAAGGTCCAGCGTATACCTCCTTTGGGACTGCTCAAACCCTTATCCATACTTGATGGCCCTGCTGAATTTGTGTCGATAAGCTTCACGGATTTAGGCAAGACCACCCCTCGTGGCATGCGTTAGGTCATGGTCTGCGTGGACAGGTTCTCCAAATACGCAGAGTTCATCCCCTTGCCAGAGGTAGCTAGGGTACCGACTGTGAGAGCAGCCTTCTCTGAGAGGTGGGTCACTCACCATGGACCGCCCACTTCTATTGTCAGTGATCGAGACCCCAGATTTTGCAGCGATGAGTGGCAGTCCTACTGCAAGGACTATCTGCACTCACAACTGGACATGACTTCTGATCATCATCCAAAAGCCAATGGTTTGGCTGAAGTGATGAACCAAGTCTTATTCCAACTGCTGCGTCCTGTCATCTCTCTAGATCAACAGGACTGGGATCTTCACCTAGCGAGGGCACAACTCATGTATAACATGTCTGTCCACTCCTCGACAGGGTTCAGTCCCTACCGGTTACACTGGGGACGTGAACCACGACAGCCTCTCGATGATATCATCGACAAGGCTAAGCCTGATCTGACACTAGGCACGACAGAGTTCACCAGACGTTATCGTCTAGAAGTGGAAAGAGCCCGCGCGAACTTGTTCAAAGCCCAAAAGGCTATGATTGAACAAGCTAATTGCCACAGGCGGCCTTCCCCCATCCGCACTGGTGATCATGTCAGGGTGGCCAGTTCTGAGCTGTCGAGGGAGGAGGATATCTCCCCCAAGCTGTTGCCACGTTACCTGGGTCCATGGGAGGTCCTAGATACAGTGGGCGCTGATCCCTTCTGTCCGTCCTACGTATTCGACGTCCCGCTGCATCTACGCACCTACCCGGTCTTCCATGCATCCAAGCTGTTGCCTTTCACCCCAGCTGATGCATTCCCAGACCGGCCCCCTCAGTTTGGTCCGCCAATCCCTGGTAAGGGATATGACATTGACCGGATTGAGGATGAGTGGGGCACAGACCCCGATCGGCAGTATATTTTCAGGTTTGCTTTCAGCCTCCTTCTATGAGTCGATGGTTCTACAGAAGAGACCTGATTAAGACAGCAAAGTTCATTGTGTTGCGATATGAAGCGGCTCAGAAGGGCAACCTTCCTCGCCGTTCACCTCGCCTACATCCCTAGCTCGGAGGTCCTCGCTCCCGGAGAGGGTAAGCCTGCAATGACTTGCTGATTTCGACTGCCGAGATTGACTGCGAGGCTATACACTAACCGGTAGGGTTAAATTTGTAATTTTGTTTGGCTGAGGGCTAACCGAGTGACCTGCCTGTAGGGAAATTCGTGAGGGACAGATCTGCAAATTTGGGAAAATACAGGCCCAGTACTAACCTGAATTCCTACAACTACCCTAACTGCCTATAGCAGGCCCGGGCTACCCCTAGGACAGACAGGTCCTAAGTGGCCTATACTGCTAGACGGTCCTATAGTCTATAGCCGGGTCCGGTAGAGGCCGAGAGGCAGAAACAGCAACGGTACCAGTCGGTCAGTCAGTCCGGTCTAGGTCTAGAGAGGCTATAGATAGGTTAGGCCCATCGGTTCAGGACTTTTGGCAGTTCATTTCTCGCGAAGCAGCGTTGGAGAAGCCATGCAAGTTGGTGGCGGTGACGGTCTGCAGGCGGCATCCTGAGACGCACCGAGACAGCAACCATAGTTGGCCCTCTCTTAGTCTGCCAGAGCTGGGGCATCCTCAGCGCACCTACCCCTGGGGGTATCTGCGTATGGTCGGGCTGTATCGAGGCTCTACAGTGTGTATTCGTGGGTGGTGGCAGCCATAGCTGCCTGTTCCTTTGTCAGAGTTGTCCATCGGCACAGAAGACTTCATCGCAGGACCTGTTCTTCATCAGGGTGGTTGGCGTTGGCCTCTGGGAGGCCAATCTGATGTAGCGCTACTAATTGGGTGTAGGATAGAGAGTGGGGTGTGAGTTCTGAGAGTGGCGAGATACTAGAACAAACTCTGTTACGATAATTGTTTGAGTGCCCCATCATATGTGTGAATCCAATTGTGATATTCGCAGATTCTTTCTTGTGATTGGTTGTTGGGAGTTGTGTCAGAGAGTGAGAAACACTGGGTGTTCTCTCCCCATGTGTGCATGATTGTCTTTCGCTGCTTATCTTCAGCTGTGTGCAGTTTGGACTTTGTTTCCTCTCTCCCTTTCTCTTATGCATGTATGGGCATGTGTGAGATTGTCTGTGTGTGAGTGACAATAAAATTCGTCAGACAACCAAGTTCATAACAAGGTGGGTGCGACCGGGGTTCGGCTGGGCAGTTGGAGGTTTGAATTCAAATCGGGCAGGGCAGTTGACAGACGGATGCATCGGCCTAGTCTGGGCGGTGGTTCTGCTAGTCTGGACTGCTTTAGGGTCCCTTGGCTCCGGCCTATCGGGGCCTATAGCGGCGTTGGTACGCTGGCCTAGCTGACCAGGATCCAAGAACCTGGCTAAGTTGGTTTCACCTCTGAATTGTTGAAGCTCTGGGCAACAGAGAAATGCATCATCCAACTGCATGTGGCCGTAGGGCAGTAAGTAAGGATGGTCGTTTGTGTTTTGTCCCACCACAGGCTGCCCTAGCCCAAGAGATCGGTGGGTCTCGTACATGTCGATGAATCGATGAGCAACAAAAGATGCCCAGTACCTGGAGGGTCATTTGCAGACATGTGTGAGCTTAGGGAAGAGACTCAGTGGGTTGTGAACAACTACAGAGACAAACAGAAAAATCGACAGGTGTCGGAAGCAGCATTACCCAAAGTTTTTGCCAAAGGGTCCAATGGCCAGAAATGCAGGGGCATATGGACAAGTTGCACATGGCCTTGTAAGGGGTATATGCAAGAGATGGTGGGCCAGATTGACCAGTGGGTTATTTTACCTTTTTTCATGATGTCATAGGGGCATTTTGCCAAACCCATGGCTTTTAGGGGTATCTGACCAAGTACCCCAACTTTCAAGGGCATTTCGACAATTTCCCCCAATTTCAACATTCAAATTTCATTACAAATTAAGAGAGGCTGGGGATCCCTAATTTTATTTATTATTAGGGGTAACTTCAGTACAGTAAAAAATGAGTTATAATTGCACTATGAGGCAAGGGACAGTTTGCAATTGTACTTCAGGCACCCTTCCTGGCCAGAAAGCTAGGTTATATACATTGCCCGAACTGCAATTCGAAACTGTATCTTGGCCCATAGTGCAATTATAACTCATTTTTGTGACTCCCGCATAGTTTCCCCTTATTAGTATTATTATTTTTAATACTTGAATCATTATTTCAGGCCGTACCTTCTTCCTTCTGGTTGGTAAGAGCCCCTGAAGGGCGAAGGAGGCAGAGGTTTGATGACTCCGTTCTATTTGTGGGGAGCTGCACCTGCTGGAAATCGGGTCCAGCGTCGCATACATTCATCAGTTCAAAAGTGAGTTAAAAAAACATCATCTTTATGGTAGCAGCAGAACCGGGGGGCGTTTGGGAGGGGCGGAGGGTCAGCTGGTGGGGTCTCCTAAATGCACTCCAAGACCCCAAGCCCTCCGGGCTGCGCCTCTGCGTCGTGCGCTATACACAGTTGAGAGAATAATGCAGCCTACCAGCATCACCAGATGGCCACAATCTGTTCGAGAAAGGAAACCCTTCACCATGGGGCCTCTCTGCACTTCTCTCCAAAGGTGAAATTTGACAATGAACTTTCTGCAACAACATGGAAAGATTCACTTCCGTATATTTTGTCTTTTGTGAATGTCGACCTTAGTGCAGCTGGGCCCATTAATTCATACCCCATACCCGACGACGATGGGGGCAGCTTCCTCTGCATTATCTTATGATTTTTTTCTTAATTTTTGTACTTCATGGGGAAGAACTGTAAGCACCCTTCGGGGGGAGCTCGCTTACAGTTCTTCCCCATGGAGCTCGCTTACAGTTCTCTCCCCTGGAGTGGAAGCACTTGCTGAGCCCGACAGGCGTTCCACCACCGAAGACATGGTTCACTGTACAAGAACAATACAATCACACAGACCCATCGAAATCATATTGAAAGCTGATCTCGATTAAGTTAGATGGGTCCAGAACTTTCCAACAGTGGACCAAGATGGCATCCTCGAACAAGCTCATAAGTTGTACTGAAGAGCGTGCTACCACACCTTGCAGACCACTAGGTAATCTGACCCAGATTAGAGTGAGAGAGGCTTGTAACAATGAAGGAGAATGGTCGTGCGTGGTTTGGGCAGATGGCGCTCCTATCAGACAGTTGAGACTGGACCCCAAAATGTGGTCTTGGACAGGCTTGAGGAATTTCTCACAGGAAGCATGGCTCACTGACTTTACATCAGCTGGAGGGCATGAGCTTCAGAGACCAACTAGATCTCCTATCCTGGTGGCAACGGGTCGATGGAGTCAGGTATCCACAACCGAAGATGTGATCATTAACCGGGATATTACGCGATGTTGGGAACAACTACAAAAAATGCCCATGCAGAGAGCAGCAGCGTTACTGTGGCTGCTTTCATTGTTGGCTACCCCCTCGGCAGTTTGGTTGGTAGAAAGGGGTATGAAAGTTTCACTCGAATGTAAAAGGTGTCGATGGCCATTTGAATCAACAGTACACCTGTGGCTTTCCTGCTCTCTTTCAAGAAGAATCTGGTCATGGTGGCTCATCCACTGGGCCCGCATCAGTGGTCCAGCCTTCCCCTGGGATGACCGCTGGATCCTGTTCAGCGGAGTCCCAGAGGGTATTGCTCTAGACAAAGGGTGGGGTTATGTTGCTCAGTCCATCAGAGCATGCCTGTTTTTGGTTATCTGGGAAGTAAGAAACAACAGCGTGTTCGAAGGGAGGTTTCTGTCTGATCAGTCAATCAAGGCGGCAGTGAAACTACACATCAGAAGAAGCATCAGGGCCGACTGGAGACGTAAAGTATCAACAACAACACGGAAAGCCGCTGGCATGGTCTGGTTCACAGAAAG